CTAGATTGAATAGGAATCTCACAGGATTGAGAGCAAAGTTTTTTCTCTAAACAAAAGGGAGGAAGGGAATCTAGGGGGTTGTGATGGTCATTTTATTTTATTCTATTCTATGGGAAACAGGGTCTTACTCTATAGTCCTGGCTAGCTTGGAACTAACTCAACGTGATCCACTTGTCTTTCCCAAGTGCTGGGATTAAAAGTGTTCACAGCTATGCCTGGACTTCACTGAGGGTATCTTAGAGAGTCTTAGTGCCATTTATAAACACACACACCATACTATTAAAGTTCTGTGTTTAATACCTGTACTCCTTACCCTAGGTGAAGGCGCTGAAGGAGAAGATAGAAGCTGAGAAGGGTAGAGATGCTTTCCCTGTGGCTGGACAGAAACTCATCTACGCTGGCAAGATCTTGAGTGACGATGTTCCCATCAAGGAATACCATATAGATGAGAAGAACTTTGTGGTTGTCATGGTGACCAAGGTGGGGAGATTAGCTGGGATGCTGGCGAAGAGCTTGCATGCCCAGAAGAGATTAGCCACAGGCAGGGTGGGGCCAAGATGGGGCAGGGTGTCCAGGCTTGATAGGGATGCTGCTGCCTGATCCCTTTTTCTTGCTGTCACAGGCCAAGACTGGCCAGGGTACCCCAGCACCCCCAGAGGCCTCACCCACTGCTGCCTCGGAGCCCTCCATACCTTTCCCTCCAGTCCCAACGTCAGGCATGTCTCATCCTTCACCTACCAGCAGAGAGGACAAGAGCCCATCAGAGGAGTCACCCACCACAACATCTCCGGAATCCATTTCTGGGTAAGGAAGGGGCAGTAGCTTTCTCTGTACCCTGTCTTCCTGCACCTTCTAGTACCCATCTGTGTGGTCCCAGGCACTTGTGGGGAGGGCAAGCCACCAGAAGCCAGGGTCCGATTTCTCTCTCTTGAATTTGCAGCTCTGTTCCCTCTTCAGGTAGCAGCGGGCGAGAGGAAGACGCAGCTTCCACATTAGGTGGGTGGGTGGTCCTCAGGGCAGAGGCGACTGGAAGCCCCAGCCATCAGCCTTTGACAGCCTTGTCGGGTGTGGGAGGGTCTGGGAGCTGCCCTTCCGTGCCTCTGGTGACCCTGGCCCTGCTGCTCCCTCCACAGTGACTGGCTCTGAGTATGAGACGATGCTGACTGAGATCATGTCCATGGGCTACGAGCGGGAGCGGGTTGTGGCCGCGTTGAGGGCCAGCTACAACAACCCCCACCGAGCTGTGGAGTACTTGCTCACGGTGAGGGGCCACCACTGCCTCCTGGGAGTCTACAGGTCTCAGTGCCTCAGCAGGCAATGGAGGTGAAACATGCCCCATAGGCTTTTGTTATTGAGTGTTGCCACTGAAGCCTTCCCAAAGAGGCTGGACAGAGAACATGGAGGGCAGGGGTGAGGCCTTCCATCGTGTCAGGCCACTCACCTAGGAGAGGGGAAGTGGGTCTGTTTGAAAGAACTAAAAAGCAGGATCCCTGACAGGGAATTCCAGGAAGCCCTGAGCCTGAACATGGATCTGTCCAGGAAAGCCAGGCACCTGAACAGCCGGCCACAGAAGCAGGTAAGCAGGTTGGATGGTGTACTCGTGGACATCTACGGTCTGGATTCAGGAGTCCCTGCAGGGATCTGACCACACTTCTTTCTGCCATATCAGGGGAGAGCCCCCTGGAGTTCCTGCGGGACCAGCCTCAGTTTCAGAACATGCGGCAAGTGATTCAGCAGAACCCAGCGCTGCTGCCTGCTCTGCTCCAGCAGCTGGGCCAGGAGAACCCTCAGCTCCTGCAGGTGCGGCCCAGGGTGAGGGAACTGAGACAGATGCAGTTCCTTAGGGGATCACCCAGGGATATAGCTTTGCTCTGAGAAAGCAGAACTAGCACAGGCCAAGCCCTTGCTCCCTGATGACTTCTAAGGTTACGTGTAATCTGACTCCCCAGGAGGTGTGGATGCGGTTGGCACCCACCTACTGAAGACACCCAAGGCTCAGAGCAGGCTGCCGTGTCTGGGTCCTGGACTCCAGCACAGCATTCTTCTGAGTTCTTGCCCTGTCTGCAGCTCCTCCCTCTTCCTGCTTCTCAGTCCTCGCCTTCTTCCCGACCTGACCTTCACTTCAACCCTCTATGTGGTGACCTAAACCTGTGTCGTCACACCAGATCCCTGGGACCCTCTCATCCCGGCTATGAAAGGATTTCCTGGATCTCCTGAGTTTTCAGGCCATTCTGCTCTGATTGCTCGAGCCTGTCACAGTCTCCTGAGGACTCTCTCTGCTTCTGCCCCAATGTCAGCCATTTCTCTCCCCCAGTATCCTGGCATCCTCTTCTTGGGCCTGTTAGTTCTTTCTACACAGGCCCCCGATGAACTGTCCAACTAGAGGCTAGATTGCTGAATAGGCCCTTTTTAATGTGAAAATTGTCAGGTGTCTGAAGAAGCAAAGGGCTGCATCAGAACCTCTGAATTTCCAAATAGAGTGTATTTAGTAGGTGCCATGGCTGGTTGTGGCAGTGTACACCATTAAACCCACACTTAGGAAGCTGAGGCAGGAGGATCACTGAACTTGATCCTTCTAGTAATGAGATCATCTCAAAAAACAGAAAACATAAAGGTTGCCGGGTGGTGGTGGTGGTGCACGCCTTTAATCCCAGCGTCTTGGGAGGCAGAGGCAGGCAGATTTCTGAGTTCGAGAGTTCAAGGCTAGCCTGGTCTACAGAGTGAGTTCCAGGACAGCCAGGGCTACACAGAGAAACCCTGTCTCGAAAAAACCAAAAAAAAAAAAAAAAAGGAAAAGAAAACATTAAGGTTGTGCAGATTGAGTGCCTCACTAGTTAACTGCTGTTCTTAGCAGCTTGAGGCCTGGGTTTCCTTGCAACACAACAAAAGTGCCCGCTGTGCTGCTGTCGGCCACTCTGGCTCCCCACTGCCAGGGAGAAGCTCAGCTTTGCTGTGCTGGTTTTGCCACAGAGCTCTTTTGAGACTTGCCCAGTAGATCCAACCCAGGACATTTTTATGGGTTTTATGTTTTAGCCACATGTGGCTCTACCACTGACAGGCCCCTCCCACAAGCTCTCAGGGTCTTAGCTAGCACATCTGCAGTTACTTGGTTTGAACTTTTTTTTTCTCCTCTAGTCTCACTATATAGGTTAGGCTGGCTTAAAACTCACATTGATTCCCCTGCTTCAGCCTCCCCAGTGCTGGGATTACAGGTGTGAACCACCTGTAATATTTACTTTTTTTGTTTATTGAGACAGTGTCTCACCATGAAGCCCTGACTACTTGAAACTCTTCCGTAGACCAGGCTGGCCTTAAACTTAGCTCCACCTGCCTCTGCCTCCCCAGTGCTGGGATTAAAGACATGTGCCTCTCTGTCCACCTCCTCACCTCGGCACCTCACCGTACCTGAACGGCTATTTCCATGGCTACATGGCTGTTTAGCCAGAACATGCGCCTTCAGAGTATTTGACAGTTTGGTATAATAACCAAGGGGTGTAAAATGGGACCTAGGTGACAAGGACTGTGACTTGTCACCCTTCTTCTTCTCACAGCAAATTAGCCGTCACCAGGAGCAGTTCATCCAGATGTTGAATGAGCCCCCTGGGGAGCTGGCGGACATCTCTGATGTAGAGGGGGAGGCTGGTGCCATAGGCGAGGAGGCCCCACAGATGAACTATATCCAGGTGACACCGCAGGAGAAGGAAGCTATAGAAAGGGTAAGAGGCTTGGCTAAAGAGCCATTCATGGTGGGCAGCCCAGTACCTCCCCCTTCTTACCCCTGCCCATCTTCCCACAGCTGAAGGCACTGGGCTTCCCAGAGAGCCTGGTGATCCAGGCCTACTTCGCGTGCGAAAAAAATGAGAACTTGGCTGCCAACTTCCTCCTGAGTCAGAACTTTGATGATGAGTGATGCTGTAGGCTAGAAGGCCCCCACCCCACTCCACAAAAATTTATAAGAGAAAAGTATATATATATATATATATATATATATTACACACATATATATATTCATGTTTATTTAAGAGGAAGAAAAAAATCAAAAACCATTAAAAAAAACCCATCCAGCCCAGCTTCCCACCCTCCTGAAGTGGCCCTGCTCCCATCTCAGTCCGAGAAGACCTGGGCCAGACAGCTGTCCCCATCCTCTTAACAGAGCCCAGCCTGCTCAAAGTTGTTGGCAAGACCAGGAGGCGACAGATGGGCCCCTCTTGGCCTCTGTCCCGGCTCCCTGCAGCCAGATGGAGAGGCGCCTGCCTGTTTCCCCATCCCCTGAAGCATCCCTAAGGACAACCCTCCTTCCTCCACCATGATGAGGGGAAGCTGGAGCCCTAAACTTTATCCTCCGTTGGAGTGGCCCAGATCTTTCCATCTGGAGTAAGTCTGTTAGAAACCCAAGGCCTTCTCCCCAGTCTGGCCTTGGCCTCCAGCCTGGAAAAGGGGTAACATCAGTTCTGAAGGCCAAGGCCACCCCTTCCCCAGGACAGAACCACATCTCTGATAAAGGTTTTGAAGTGAATAAAGTTTTAAAAATGAGCCCTAATAACGGTTCACGCCTACTGGAGCTTCTCACACCTGCCTGTGAGTCTGAGCTAGCTGGGCACAGGTGAAGTGGGCACACTGACAAGTGCGGAAGGAAGCAGCCTATGAGCCTCACAGATGCGGGCCCCAGAATCTCCTCCCTCTGGAAACTTGGGCCCTGCCCCAGCTCAGCCCTAGAAGGGCTGCTGCTGCTCCTTCTCTCATGCGGTCTGTTTGGCTGTACTCCCCCCTGGTAATTGGCTAATTACTGGAGATTAATGTTGGTAAACAGAAGCCTCCTCCTCTACCACCATCTGCTCCTTCATTATTTGCCCATCCAGTCCCCTTTCTGTCTCCCCAAAGCCCCAGTTCATGGCATGGCCTAGTGTCCAGGTGTGAACACAGCCCAGTAGAGGGATTCTCCCGCCCCAGGTGTTGGGGAATGAGCCAAGGGACCCATGAAGTCACAGCTTGAGGGAGAATATGAGCTATCAGCAGCTGGCTTTATTGGGAAAGGAGCTTTCAGGAGCTGGGTTCACCAGACGCTGCTGAGTCCTGGGCTTCAGCAGAGTCCTGGGCGTCAGCAGAGGCCATAGCAGCAATTTGTGCCTCCTTCTTCTGTCGCTGTCTTTCTTCCTTTAGGCGCTTGCGTTGCTGCTTGTCTAGATCCTGTAATAGTTCCTGGAAGCGAGCACTCCTGGGGTCCACGTGGTAGCCCAGACGTTCCTGGGCCTCAGCCTGTAACCGGGCCCTCCGCTCCTTGTCAGCCTGGATTTTCTCCCAACGTTCTCGCTTCTGCTTTCGCCAGTTGTCAATCATTTGTGGCATCTTGGCCATGCACTCTGCAATATGCTGCTCCCTGTCGAGGGAAGCAGACAGTGTGTGAGAGCAAATCAAGGCAAACCTGATCTCACCCGGCTGTCTACTAAACCTCTCATGCCCTTGTCATGGATGCCCTCCATGGCTGCCCATGCGTTGTATGCCAGGTCCAAATTCAGGCCCAGGAACAATTGTTTTCCAGCCCTCTGAGTTTGTAGGCACACTGTACTCTGATAGGATTAGGATAGTAAAACTGAAAGAACAACTCTTATCAGCTAAGGTGGGACAGAAAGGGGGGGCCAGCTCCATCCTTCACTGCCGGCATGCTTCTAGATATCTGACTTGACTTCTTTGGGTCTGTTTCCTAAAAGGGTCATCTTGTCCTTTGAACACTGTGAGGATAAGGTTAAATACCAGCAACACTTTTCTCCGGTCCTGAACCCTGCACCAGAAGGGGCATCATCCAAATGTCTGGTTTGCCTCCATTTCCTCTTCAATCTGATCACATGTGCCTCCCTTTCTGACTCCTGCCCCACACTTCAGAGTTCATCACTACTCTGAGTTCCCATTACCCCACAGTGGCCTAGTTCCTTAGGGCATACTTGTAGGCCTTTTTTTTTTTTTTTTTTTTTTTTTTTTAAGACAGGGTCTCACTACATAGAGTAGGCTGGCTGGCCTCAAAACTCAGTGATCTAACCTGCCCGTCTCCAGAAGGCTAGGATTAAAGGTGTGCTCTACCAAGACCAGCTTACTTGTGATAAAAGGTTTCACCTAGTAACTTGGGCTGTCTTCTTACTCAGAATCACGATTCCAGCTTCTGAACCATGTCTTGGCTCAACCCCAGGACCTTTGGTACACCTGCTCCCTCTGCTGGGAACTCATGCCTTGAAATTTTTCAGTAACAATATCTGGTTATATGGGCATGTGCTTAAACGGCAAGCTGATGTGTCCTCCAGCATGCACTTTTAACAGTGTTTTGTCTTCCTCAGGGTCCTTGGTCATCATCTGAATCTTTTGTTTGTTTTGGTCCCTGTTGTGTGGATCCTTACATCCTTGCACAGAGTAACTCAGTAAAGAGATCTAGTTGAGGCTGGGACTGGTACAGGCCTGTAATATCAGATATTCCTAAGGTAAAGACAGACGGGTCCTAGGTTCAAGGCCAGTCTGGGCCACAGAATGAGTTCTGGTTAATTGAGTCCTTGTTACGAAGAATAAAAGAAGGGTAGGATACTGATAAAGCAAGAGGACTTGTAAAAACAAACACTAAAACTGCGGTTGAGTGACTACAAAAATTTACCTAGAAGTCTGTCTTTCAGCAAAGTTAACGTGTATTTAACCCTTCGCCACATGGGCTCCGCACACCTCCAACGGAGGGGAGGATTCATGGTTTCGGGGCCCTGGGGTACCTGCCCCAGCACACCCACCTGGCTCGACGCCTTGCCTCCGCGGCCTCCTGCTGCAGGCGCAGCGACTCTTGCATGGTCGCTAGGCTCGGGTACCATTCTCGCTCCTCGGCCTCCAATTCGCACAGCTGCTCTGGGGACGGCCACAGGGAGGCGGGGGCCACCCCCGAGACGGCGCCGTGCCGCCCGAACTGCTTGGCCGCATAGCGATGCGTTAGCTGCCATCGCGGGGTCAGCAAGTTCTCCGGGTCTGGCCAGTAGGGCCCGGGGCGGCGGCGCGGGGGCGGCGGCGCACGGTAGCTGCGGGACCTGAGACCCAAGGCCGCAGAGAGCCGCAGGAGGCCGCCGCTGTGCATCGCGGACGCCGCCATCTTGGCTGTGGGTCCTCGCGGCGGCAGGGCTGGCTACGGCGCTGCCTGCGCGGCGGAACCCCGGGGGCCTCAGGCAAGGGAGCCGAGGAACTCCGGTGTAGTCCTTACAGTGTAGATGAACATTTAATGCAGGAGGCAGTTGTTCGTTAAGATATTGCTGTATGAGCTCACCTCTTTAATTCCAGCACTCAGGAGGCCGAGACAGGAGGATCTCTATGAGTTCCAGGACTGCCAGGACTACATGTATAAAAGACATAAAAAATAAATTTAGAAAGAAGGAAAGGATTTCTACAGTTTATTTATTGGGGGAGGGAAGTGTTGAAGTGTTGGTAATCAAGTGGAAGTCAAAGGACAACTTGGGAAAGTCAGTTCTCTCCTTTCACCAAGAGGGTTATGGGAATATTGTAATCATCCTGCCTGGTGGCAAATGCCTTTACCCTCTGAGTCTTTCCGGACAGCATTTGGGATTTTGAAATAGAATATCATCCTGTAGCCAGGTCAGCCTAGAACTTCTTGGCATAACTCAGTTTTCTAAGTCAGTCTCGCCTGTGCTAGGATGACCAGTAATGAGCCTGTATAAAATAAGTCTTAAAACGAGCTTGCTTTGGCTGGGTGGTGGCGGCGGCGCATGCCTTTTAATTTCATAACTTGGAGGTAGAGACAGGCGGATCATTGTGAGTTCAAGGCCAACGTGATCTACAGAGTAAATTCCAGAACAGCCAGGGCTGTTAAACAGAGAGACAACGACGATAACAAAGAAGAAGAAGAGAAAACAACTGGTGTGCTAGTATTATTTAAATTACTGTATTTAACATTTTGATTTTTAATTTTGAAATATTAATGCTTTAAATATGTCTGTTTTATTTTATATTTTATTTCCCTTCACATTTGTGCTTTGAAATTTCTCTAATATATTAAATATTTCCACTTTAATATATAGGCTCATGTTGCCTTTTAAATCTTCTTTAAAAGGATTTAATGTGTGTATGTGTGTGTGTGTGTGCCACATGATTATGTGTGTCCCAGCGGAGGCTGAAGGAATCCTCTCAAACTGGCCTTACAAGCAATTGTCAAGGGATTTGAGTACAAGAAACAAAATTCAAGTCTTCTGCAAGACAGGAAGTATTTTAAACTTTTGAGCCATTTCTCCAGCTCCATGGATTCTAACTTGTTTGTTTTTGTGGGTTTTGAGTCTTGCTATGTAGTGCTGGCTGGTCTGGAAGTCACTGTGGACTAGGCTGGCCTCCAAGTCACAGAGTTCTGCCTGCCTCTGCCTCCCCAGTGCTGACATTAAAGGTCTGAGACCACCACACCCAATTTCCTTTACATCTTTATGGCCCACTGTATGGGATTTGGTTATGTGACTCAGTTGACAGTATGCTTGTCTAGTAAGCACAGAGCCCTGGGTTTCATCTCCGGCATAGCATAAGCTAAACATAGTAGTGCTTACCTATAATCCTGACACTGGAGAGGTAGAGGCAAGAGGATCAGGAAGTCACGGTGCCACCTTTAACCCCAGCACTCAGGAGGAAGAGGTAGGCGATCTCTATGAGTTGGAAGCTAGCCTAGTCTACAGAGCTAGCTCTAGAACAGTCAGTGGGATACAAAGAAACCCTGTCTCAAAAAAATAAAACAATAAAACAAGAACAAGAGCGAGAGAGAGAACAGATGAACTCAGGGTGGTCCTGGGCTGCATAGCCCTGTATTTCCCACCTTCCCCTCCATCTCCTCCATCTCACTAAGACGGCCTTGTGTGCTCAGGTTCCCTTCCTACCTCGGTCTCTAAGAAGCTACCATTACAGATGTGCTTCACTGCACCCAGCAGGATCTTCCTTCGGAGTGAGGTTCTTTGTCGTGTTGCTTTTTGGATGTTGAGATAGTCTCATGTATCTCAGATTGGTTTCAGGTTTGCTCTGTATCCAGGCGTGTCTTCACTCTTGGCCATCCTGCCTCTACCCTTCACGTGCTTGGAATAGAACCCTGAATGCCACGCCTGTTTTAAATTTTATTTTAAACACTTTGAATGCTCTTACTCTTTTTAATTTGGGTCTGAAAATACTTATGAAAATGTGTGGCCAGGTGGTCGTGGCGCACGCCTTTAATCCCAGCACTTGGGAGGCAGAGGCAGGAGGATTTCTGAGTTCGAGGCCAGCCTGGTCTACAGAGTGAGTTCCAGGACAGCCTGGGCTATACAGAGAAACCCTGTCTTGAAAAACAAAAAAAAAAAAAAGAAAGAAAGAAAGAAAGAAAGAAAGAAAGAAAGAAAGAAAGAAAGAAAGAAAATGTGTGTTTGTGTGAGTGTATGCTGCATATTCAGGTATCAACCGAGCCCAGAGAGAGTGCCCAGTCCCCCTGGAACTGGAGTCACAGGCGGTTGTGATCTGCTTGATGTTGCTGGGACCTGAACTCAGATCTTTTGAAAGAGCCAGAAGCACTCTGAACTTCTTAGGCTTTGTCATACATGTGGGATTGAATTAATTGTCACCAGGAAACTTTTCCCACATCGTGCTGTTCTTAAATATGCCTGAAAGAAACTGGCCAGTGTCAGACTCTTGAAATTTGAGCCAACATTGGCTGGTGAGTCCTGTGTTTACAGAGACCCTCACATGTATGCGTGAGCTTGTGTGTGTTGGATGCATATGGGTGCCCTTAGAGGGTAACAGAACATCGGATCCCTGGAGCTGGAGTTTCAGGATCACCAGCACTATAGAAACTGGGTGTGATGGCTTGGACCTGTAATCTGAGCAGTCAGGAGGTAGACAGGAGGGTAAGAAGTCATAGTTGTCGGGGTGGTGGTAATGCAGGCTTCTAATCCCAGCACTCAGGAGGCAGGGACAGGTGGAGTTCTGTGAGTTTGAGGCCAGTCTGGTCTACAGAGCTAGTTCCAGGATAGTCAAGGCTACATAAAGAAAACCTATCTTGAGAGGAGGAGGGGGGGAGAAGAGAGAGGTGATGATCTGTATCTGTGAATACTGTACTGATTTCAATGTTATTTGCCGTTGCCTAGTACAGCCCCTAATAATGTATCCTAGAGAGTAGGTAGGTCCAGTCCAATTTACATCGATGGATTGTTTGCAGAAGCATCATCGTTCAGAGCATTAACAGTTGGGCTTGCTTGTGTCAGAGTTTTAATTTCTTAATTTGGGGAGTGGGCTTGTGTGTGCAGTGTTCCTGGGGTCAGAAGAGCATCAGGTTCCCTGGGAGAGTTGTGAGGCACCATATGGGTGCCGGGAATAGAACCCTGCTCCTCTGGAAGAGTAGCCAGTGCTCTTAACCACTGAGCCATGCGTTATACAGCCCCAGTCTGTTAGTGCTACGTTTAAAAAAAAAAGGGAGTTTCAAGGTGGGCTTATTGGTGTGTACCTTTAATCCCAACACTAGGGAGGCAGAGGCAAGCAGATCTTTTTTTAAGTTCAAAGCCAGCCAAAGCTATATAGTGAAAGCCTGTGTCATCAAAACAACAACAAAAATAGGGTTTCATGTAGCCCATGCTGACTTAGTAGCCAAAATCGACCTTGAATTTTGAATGTCTGGTCCTTCTGCCTCCACCTCTCAAGTGCTCTGAATTGTGCCACCAAACCCATCTCTTCTTTTTTCTTTATTTCTGGGTTGGGATGGAAGGCGGGGCCTTAAACATGCTACACAAATAGTCTACCACTGATCCAGACTGCCAAATCTACCGTGTGTGTGTTGTGTGTGTGTTGTATGGATTTGTCTGTATGTGTATATGTTCATACCTGAGCATATGGAGGTCAGAGGTCAACTTTGGGTGTCATTCCTCAGGCGCCATCCACCTCAGTTTTTTTGGAGATGGGGATCTTTAATTGACCTGGAGCTCACTAAGTTAACTAGGCTGGCTGGCCAGTGAGCCCCAGGGACCTGAGTATCTCAGCCTGCCCAGTGGTAGGGTTACTAGCATGAACTCTGGAATAGGAGCAAGTGCCTTAACCTCTAAGTCAGCTCTCCAGCCTTTTGTTTATGTATGTGCAGTTGTTTGTATGGTTATATGTGTTCATGTATGTGGGGGCTAAGTATTAGTCTTTTTGTGTGTCAGTGTCCCTGTGGGCCAGAGGTTGATGTCAGGTGTTTCTCTGTTGCCATACATCTTTTAAAATAATAATAACAACAATAACAACAACAACAACAGCAGCAGCAGCAGCAACATTATTTCAGGGTGTTTTGAGACAGGTTTCTCTGTGTAGCCCTAGCTATCCTGGAACTCACTATATAGACAAAGCTGGCCTTGAACTTTGAGATCCACCTGTCTCTGTTTCCAGAATGTTGGGACTAAAGGCATGCATGCATGCCTGGCTTAAATTATTATTTTTTATACTTATTTTATGAGTGTGAGTGCTTTACCTGCATGTGTGTGTATATGGTATATATATGGTATACTAGGCCCATGCTTGTGCCTAGTGTCTGGAAAGGCTGTGGGATTCCTTGGATCTGGAGTTAGGGATGGTTCCGAGCCACCATGTGGGTGCTGGGAACTGAACCCTGGTTCTCTGCAAGACCAGCAAGTGCTCTTCTGTGTCATATCTCTAGCTCCCTTTGTCTTATTTTGTTTGTGTTTCGGGGATGACGTCTTTCAATGTAGTTTTGGGTGTCCTGGAACTGGATATGTAGCACAGGCTGCCTACCTCTGCCCCAAGTGCTGGAATTTAAGGCACGCACTACCACACCTGACTTCCTCCATCTTAGTTTTGAGGTTGGGCGTCTCAGTAAACCTAGAGCTCCCAAATTTGTCTTTTTTTTTTTTAAAGATTTATTTATTTATTATATATGAATACATTGTAGCTGTCTTCAGACACACCAGAAGAGGGCATCAGATCTCATTACAGATGGTTGTGAGCCACCATGTGGTTGCTGGGATTTGAACTCAGGACCTCTGGAAGTGCAGTCAGTGCTCTTAACCACTGAGCCATCTCTCCAGCCCCGCCAGGAAACTCTTGATCCAAGTACTTTACTGGCTGAGCCACTTCCTTAGCCTGCCTTCCCCCACATCCCCTTGTGTGTGTGTGTGTGTGTGTGTGTATGTGTAGACACAATCTTGAGAATTGTAACACATGTTAATCTCAAACTTGAAGTCTTCCAGCCTTAGCCACTAGAGTGTTTACAGACCTGCACCACAGTATCTAGTAAAATAATCTTCCTTCCTTCCTTCCTTCCTTCCTTCCTTCCTTCCTTCCTTCCTTCCTTCCT